AATTTCATTTATTTTAATACAAAAAATTTAATAAATTAAAACTCGATAAATTAATGATTTGATATTTAATCATGTAATAATTTTAATTCACGTGATAATTTTTAATTGGATAAAGATTACATAACAGGTCTGTGATCAGTAAAAAAAAATTTGGACTGTTTGTCTTTTAGATGACCTGCACCATAAAAAATTATGTTTACATATATACATTATGCGCATGAATTTTAAATATTAATATTATTAATAATTAATCTTATAATAATAATAGAATATAATTTATCATTTACAATTAGCAAAGCTTCTTTAGAAATAAAATGAATTATTACTGAAATCGATAATAATATATTTTACTGAAAATAGTTTTACTGAACAATTAAATAAAATTACTGAACCTTCTAATAATTTTTATACTTTAAATAGCAAAGATAATAATAAGTTTATTTAATTAAATATTTATTTTTAAATTTTTTTTATATAATATTACTATATTAACTTTTATAGTTAATATATCATATCAATATTTATCATTTAATAAATTAGATTTTGAACTTTTATATAATCAATGAAAATTTTATAAGATATATTATTCAAAATCTCTTGAGTAAAAATTTAAAATTGTCAAAATAAATTCAAGAATAACAGAAAGATCAAATATTCAACCAAATATGGTTAGTCATTTTGTTGCTTATTTTACTAAGAATAAAAATTTGAAACAAAGATTTATAATTTAAAGAGAAAAGTGATAGAAAGATAATTGAAAAAATATTACTATAATATTAGCATAATTGTATGCTCAGTAATTTACCAAGTCTAAAAAAATAAAAATGTTTAAGAAAGTTTGACTAAAAGTAAGTTTTATTTATTATTATACTATTTTTTTTATATTATTTTTAAAAAAATAATTTTAAATATTAAGTTCGCTAATATAACTAAAGGTTTTTTTATTAATAAAGAGAGATTATATATTTATTTGATATAGTATCTAAATGTATTTCATATAATTAGAAATCTTATATTATAAAGCATATAACTATTATTACTATATGGATAATAGTATTAAAAATATTAATGATATTTCATATATTTTATTATATATATTTATTTCTTTACATCTGAATTTATTTACTAAAGAGAGTTATAATATGTTTACACATCAGATTCTATTAAATATTATATATCATATTAACTAGAATAGGGTAATAATTGAAGAAAAATTTTAAAATTAATCAGTAATGAAAAGTATTATTATTTTGATTATTTTAAGTGAAAAGATATTATTAAAAAAATAATAGAGTAGATTAAGTATAACCATTTTAACAAATTACCATTTAACTGTTAATGTTATAAATAAAATTTTGAAAATAAATAAAGATTTTAAAATAGAAATAATTAATATTATTTTTTAATTAGAGGTTTGAATTTTTATTTACGTATTTTTATAAGATTTTTAATATTAAGTATTAAAGGCTATTTGATCTTTATATATTTATTTTTAGGTTCTTATATAATAGTTTAAGTCACATATTAAAATTAAAATAATAAATATTTTTTAATAAATGTATATATATATTAAATATTTAGTTTTAATCATATGGGAAGTTTGCTAGGAAAATGGGACTCTGAGAATTTTTTGACTAAAATTACTTATTATATTTTAATCTAATAATATCAAAAACTAAAATGTAATAAAAAACAAAATTTTGTTAAAAAATTCTCAGAATCTCATTTTTCTAATAAACCTCCTATATAAAGTATAAATATATATCTTTTTCAATAATTTTACTATAATTCTATAAAAAAAAATATATTAAAAAATTGATTAAATTACTATTTTATAATAAGGTCATATAGTATTAGTTTAATTTAATTATTATTAATAAAATTTTTATTAAAGTTTTTTTATAAAATATATAAAATATTTTTTGTAACAATTTTAAAAAAAAAATATTAAAATACTGTCTTAAAGTTTTAAGATTATTTTTATTAATAAATTATTGTTTTTTAAAAACATTGAGATTTTTATTATATTTTAATTTTTTGATATTATAGAAATTGAATATTATTAATAATAATTTTTAAAGAAGAATTATTAAATAATTTATTAAAATTCTATTATAAATTACATAAAATTATAGATACTATATAATTAAACTTTTTTATAATTTTTTTAAAAAAAAAAGAAAATTAGTTCTGATTATTGGGAATATTTTACTAATATATTTTTACTATCACCCCTTTAATTATATACCACTAATTAGTAGTATTAATAAATCTCGACAAGGGTAAAAACCAAAAATGGTGTATATTGTCAAATAAATGCAGAATGGTATTATTGAATTTATATTAATCCGGTTCACTAAACAGTTCGATTCGCTCGAACCGAGGTGTGTTATTGTTTGAATGCAACTTTGGTAGTTTTAGTTCTGAGGGGAAATATGTTGAAGAAAACTTGTTTCTATAATTTTATAATTAAGTTTGAACCGAAACAATATTTTTTCCTATCAAACAATATTATTATTTGTCAATTAATACATAAATAGCAAAGTGATTTACAACACATTGCTTAATGCTAACTTATACTGGTAAAGAACATTCCAAGAAACATATCATAGATAATACAATATTGCGTCATAAATACTCAACGAAAACGAGAAGGTTGACATACTGTTTGATATGCAGGGGGATAAACACTTTCCTTTTTGTGTACCATACTATAAACTGAATTCGCATATAAATATAATTTAGGTAAGGTTAAAATAATTTATTGTGCATGAACAGGTATGAAAACTTCAAAATAGTCCGACAAATTCTTCGGTAAGGAGTTCAAACCGAAGCTTCATTTTCAATTTAAAACAAAAAGTTTAATAATTGTAAAATTTATTATTATTATTTCCCAAAGAAGATGCATGCATTTACATATTTGTTTCCATTCATGAATATTTTTAGAATACTAGAACAATGATTGTTCTTTTTAAAGTAACTAACTTACTGTTTTAAAAAAAAATCTAACGGAAACAGTATACTGATAACAAATATATGTCCGAAGATGAAACACAAAAACAATGTGTGAAATATATTGTTCTTTTCAGAGTTTCACCGACACATGTACATAATTCTATTTAATTCCAAATTCAGCCATTAATGTAAATTTCTAGATAAAGATTCAATGAGTTTGTCAAATCAATTTATTTTCCTGGGTTGGATGTCTGAGTGATGAAGTCTGGTCTAGGTTTCAAAAAGATTTTTGAAACAACTAAAAAAGGATTTATTTTACCCAGATTTTTTAAACCTGACAATACTAATGAAGAATGACAACTATTGTTAAGGTGACACATGATCGACAAACTATTGTTTATTAGTTTATTACGCAGCAAGTTATTGATAACTGATTTATAAAAAAAAATATAATCTTTTCACTTATTTGGTTTATGTGGAATCGAAGAAGACAATAGTTATGAGACTGGGGTTGAACGTTTGAGGAAATTGAGCGCGGAAAGGATAAATACAGGCCTTGGATTCAGAGACGAATTGTAAAAAAAAAACTTAGAAAATTCAAAAAAAAAAAAAAGTCAAATTTCAATTCTTAAAAAAAAAAAAAAAATAAAATGTCGACCATTGCTGACCAAGTATGTCAATCAAATCTTCCCGATCTTCCTTCTTCACATCCAGAACCTTTGATCGAAGGAATCCCAACCTCATATATTTTAGCAAAATTACATGAAATGGGATCAATTTATTTTCAAGATAAATTTAGTGCATACGCCGAGTTACGTATAAAAGGAATTGATAAATCATTTTGGATACATAGAGAATATTTAGAGTTACAATCCATTTTCTTTAATCAAGTTCTTGAGCAAGTTGGACAAGGTGATATTATACTTATTTCCTTACCTTCTCCTGCGACTTTTGAGCCAATCTTGGAATTTTTGTACACCGGTAATGATGATAAATTGTATGATTTATTAGATTTGGACAATTACTATGATTTTTGGCAAAATATTGACTATTTGGGATTAGGAAATGATGTTAGAGCTATCATTTTCTCTTTCATTCAAAATGAAGTTGAAATTTAATGAATTTGGATAATTCATTATTACTTGTAAATTAACTCTTATATACATATATTATTGTGACCCGACACTATTTATAATTATTTATATTATATTTCTAAACACATGCGTTAATCATCCATTCCATAAGGTCTCCTCCCATTCTCGTTTTTTTTTGTAAATTATTTCATCATCATCATCCCCAAAAATTACTTTTTGGTTAAGCATATTCATCCAACCATCAATTCATATCTCAATAAGATCATTTAGCATTTCGATTTTATTTATTTTATTCTTTTTCTCGTTTTCTTTTTTCTTTTATTTTTCTTTTCGATGGCAATTTTAAAAAATTTTTCGACTTTCGGCAAAATTCGTTTATTGGCAAAAATCTGTATATTAAAATTTCGTATTTCGTACTTTCCTTTCTTAATAAATTAATAAATTTTTAGTTTTCTTGATTTTAAAATGACATTTTTTTTTTAAAATGCTGCGCCACTATTGAAGTTAACGTACTAAAATTTAAAATTTTCAAATTAAACTATATCATCAATTTATGTTTGTACAGTAGAATATAACCCTGAAATTAGATAATTTTAAATATAGAAGTACCTTATCTAAGGTTACTTTGTTAGGTTGTAATTTTTGAATTGACCGACAATTATTATAGGTTACGGGAGTCTCGTTATCTGTAATTATTATGAATAATAAGAAATGAAAAGTACATTTTTTTAAAAGTGATAAACATTAAAGTTCCTTTACAATAACTTTCACTTTCTGATATATATATTTTTTTCATTAATGCTTTGGATTGTTTTATTTCAGTATTGTAATATTTTATTATTAACTTTGACCTGACAAAATGTTTTTTAAGAGGAGTTCAACTATATAGGAGTTATAGGAGACTGTATATAATTTTTATTAAATTTTTAAATCATAAAAATTTTATCTAATAATCACAGAAAAAATAGAATTTTGAATTTTATATTTCTAAGATTGATAAATAGTAAAATATAAGAATTTAAAAAATTTAATATTTATTTGTATTATATTTATCTTTAAAAAATCACTAGTTAATTACTTTTTTTTAAAAAAATTTTAGATAAAAACATCATAAATTTATTATTAAAATAATAATTTTTTAAAAATAATATTTAAAATAATTAAAAAAAATTTAATTAATAAATAAAATTGCAGGCAAATTTGCTTGCAATACCTTAAAGAAACATTATTTTTATTTATTATTTATATCCTTTATTATATTTTAATTAAACTTTAAATTTATAAATTTTATTAATATATGAATATAAATTTTTAATATTTTTAAATTTTATTATATATTATTTTAAATTTTAATGATTTTTTTATTATTTTGCTTAAAAATATAAAATATTATTTTTAAAAATTTTTATATAAATAGATAAATTGGTTATTTTATTATTTTTTAAATTATAATAATAGTGGGATACCACCATATGATATAATTATATCATATAGTGATATCCCACTTACCTTAGATTATATTACCATCATATAATCTTAATACCACCATATAATCTGAATACTACCATATAATCTAAATACCATAATATAATTTGGGTACCACCATATGATTTAAATAATATAATCTAATTATCACCATATAATCTATTTATTTTCATGTATCAGGTATCTTTTTTATATTCTAGTTATCCTTTTAAATCTTTCTTGCTATCTGTATTTTTTTACCACCATATAATCTAACTACCACCTACCATTTAATTTAACTACCACTATATAATCTAAATATCACACTTTTCTTCTTATTTCTGAGTCATTTATATACTAAATTCTATAATAGAATTGTTGGCCCTCTGTAGCTGTTTAGATATCTGATTTTATATTAAGGATGCTGACCTCCTGCATCTGGTTGGATGCTGGAATTTATATTGGAGTGCTTACCCTTTGCACCTATTTGATTACCTTTTTAAATATTAAAATATAATAAAAAAAATATGGTGTTAGGTGGTGCAATAAATTCGTGATTAATTTTGGTTGACATTATGCCATAATTCTGACTGATCTTGAAACACATAATTTGGATCTAACTTGGTGATATGATAGTATTGTAGTAGTATTATGGAATTGTTATAGAACTATTAGAGAACTGATGGGAAGCTAGAGATATTCTATTAGTTCACCAGTTTCATATCACTTATATACTAGCTTAGATGCTGAGTTATTATGTTTAAGGATCTGGCTGAATTTATGTGCTGGCCAATTTATACTGCACCTTATTGCACTAGTCATGTAATCCTATTATGGTATTAAACATTCTTTCATAGTTACAGGTTAGTGACAGAAATATTTTTAGAACATTTTTGAAATCCAATATATATGTATTTATGCCACATATTTTTTGTATCTATATATTTCTAAAATCTTCTTAACACTTTCAAGTTTCAGTCTAATAGATGGTTGGTTAGTAAAGAATTAGAGGTATAATATATACTATCTTAGCTTGATCCAGTTGATTACCAAAAAGTACACTATCTTACAATCTAATTATTATGTCAGTATATATATACTAATTTCGTGTTCATAGTTGAAAGTGCATTATGTATTATTAAGGCTGACCCATTTATACAATACCTGAGTATATATCTAGAAAAGTGTAGTCTTCTTCCAATTTTATATAATAGATTATACACTTACCTACTCTGAATGTCATATCTAAATACATACTAGTGATAGAGTATTTTTCTGCCAATATTTTATATAATGATTATGCAGAAGAATACCTTAAATATTACCTATTAGAAATGTGTTTATTCATAATTTGCTTGTCATCTTGCTACAGTATATGTATTTTTGCATCCATTGAGACATAAAATTTATGCCAAAGAACTTTCAATTATACCTGAATGAGATGAAGGCTTCTTCCAATATTTTATATAATAATTATAGAGAAGTTTTCACTTTTAATTGCATATTTAGTTGCCTTTTTTTTACGTTTTACTTATTAAATTTGCTATCGTTTCTTTTACATCTACTAAAAAATAAATTAAACATTTCTAAATTTTATAAAATAATATAAATCTTTTCAAACTAACAACATGCATACCTCAACTATTTTTAACCAAACTGATCATAGAACTCTCACTCACTATGATGATACTGATCCTGATAAATATTTAAATGATTCAAGTAGTTGTACTGATAATAGATCTGACTTAGGGTTAAATAATTATAATGACTATGAGTCTAATTATGAGTTAGATAATAAAGAAGCTCCCTGCATCTTAACTAGTATTACCAAAACTTTATCAATTTAACTATCGAATATAGAAGAACAAAAAGTTAACATATCATATATTTTAAGACAGGAAAAGTTTAATGATAAATTTTCTCCTAAGGATTTGATAAATGAAATTTGAAAAATAGCCTCTTCATCACCTAGAGATATATCAAATGATAAAAGTTCATTAAATTGTCTTCCTATCTATTCATTTCTCTTTTTGAATAAAAAAGTCTAGTTTATATAATGCTTATGATTGGAATAAAGTGAAAAATAAATTAGTACTCAAAATTGAATAAGATGGGTATCAGGCTCTAAAGTTTTCTGCTGCAGATGATATTTCTGAAGTATATGACTTGCCTGAGATTTATGAATGTATTAATGATCAAAAATCTTTAAAAACCGTAATTAATATAGATGCTTTACAAGAAGATATAGAAGCAAATGGAATTAATGCATAAGAAGTATTCATTCAAATTTATTTATCTTTCATAAAAGCTTTATATCGAATTCTTGATTGTAGCTAGAAAAATATTCTCAAAGGATTGGTAATCACTACATCATCAGACTCTAGTAAGTGTAGCTATTATATTTTATATGCATCGGCTCTTCTTATTGATCATCATGAACTTAAAGCATTTACTAAATTAATATATACTATAACTGATGAAAAATTCAGCAAGTATATTAATCAAGGGTTGCTTGATCAGAATTTTAACCTTCGCCTAATTGGTTCAGCAAAAAAAGATCATGTAAAAGCATATCCTGTTATCTTCGATAACTAATGGCTAGAATGAACTTGATCATGCTAGGGTTTAACTATTTTCTAGTTTAGAACTTGAAGTAAGACCTAGAATGCTTAGTATAGAAAAAAATAATAATTTGCTAAGAATATCTATAAGTTTAGATATTTTATAAAAATACGCAGAACTAGTTTTACAAAAGCATTTTAGCTATCTTAAGAATTGGACTATTAAAGAAAAAAATTCAGAAAAATTCATATATTTTAACTAAAAAGCTTTACTAGGATGTCTACTCTGCAAATGTATACATGACAAGAATCAGCGGTAATTTGACTGTGTATATACTAGTAGTGATAAATTTATCGTAAAATGTTTTCAGCAAAATAGTAATAAGCGTGAGAAAATTTTTGAATGTGACCCATCTATTGCAGAAAAAATTCAGCAAGAAAATAAAAAATCTCTGCAATCCTTTCACAAGGTCAAGGTTCTAGGTTTCCCTAAAATCTTTTTAAAATTTCCATCTTGGGTCAAGTATAATGAGCCCTTTCAGTAACAGAAATATATGAAGAAAGGTATGTAATGTTACTACCTAATGAAGGTAATATTTATTTAGACTCATCTTGGGAAACTAAAAAAACATATGTTCTTAAATATCTTACTATATCTGATGATATAAATTTGCTAGTATTATTCATGCGCTACTCCTATTTAAATGCCATTACTACTAGACTTAATCTTAAGTTATATTGTAATATTGATAGTAATATAAATCTACCTGATCATAAGAGGGTAGTATAAGTTTAACAAGTAAAGAAATATTTGGAAATTCATTACAAAATTATGTTTTTGTACAAAATATAAAATTCCAACCATCTACATTATTTAAATTTTTAATAGTTTTCATCATTTCTTTTACTAATTCCCATTCTTGTTTTAATTTTTGTTTATTAATTAATGCTAAATTAATTTCACCATCTTCTGCTTTTTTATCATTATCATAAAAATCA